AAGCGCTCTAAAAGCCTAGTAGGGGTCTCCAGTAAAATAACAGTATGGGTCTCTGATGTAATGACAGGGTACGTGGGTGTCCGATGAAATAACAGGGTTGGTCTCCAATGAAATAACAGGGTTGGTCTCCGATGAAATAACAGGGTGGGTCTTCGATGAAATAACAGGGTGGGGCTCCGTTGAAATAACAGGGTGGGTCTCCAGTAAAATAACAGTATGGGTCTCTGATGTAATGACAGGGTACGTGGGTGTCCGATGAAATAACAGGGTTGGTCTCCAATGAAATAACAGGGTTGGTCTCCAATGAAATAACAGGGTGGTTTTCCGATGAAATAAAAGGGTGGGCCTTCAACAAAATAACAGCGTGGGTTTGATGAGATAACAGGGTGGGTCTCCGATGAATTAACAGGGTGGTTCTCCGATGAAAGAACCGGGTGGATCTCCAATGAAATAACAGGGCGGGTCTCCGATAAAATAACAGAAATCAGAACCAACTACCAAGTAGAATTATGAGTTGAGACACCGTGAAGGGTTGTAACAGACAGGTTTAGTTTAAAAATAATCTTTTCAAAGTTTTAATGGTTTACTCGGGGACTATATTGGCAATCTTTTTATCTATTTTTATAATATATGTTTATGCATGGAAAACAAATGTGTAACCTCAATGAATTGTCCGCGTTCCTGTAGTTGTAACAGCTGAGAAAGCGCCTGAGTTAAAAACCCCGGGCATGCAGGGCCAGAGAAAACTAAAAAATCTACAATTAACAGGATCCAGGCGAACTTCTAACATCAAACATGTAAACTAAAAATAACTCTCTGAATTAGGAAAATTAAAATATAATTAAAGGATTCTGAGTTCTGAATTACTATAACTGAACCTAAATTTAAAAATGGAGTCTTTGAATCCGTATTTTTCAGACAAAGCTGGGTTCCCAAGTGTACTTGATGAATAGAAACATTGAAATTGATGTTAGAAGTACAACTGTTGACTTTAAAAGTCAATATGATAAAATAAAAAGAGATCTAAATGGATATTTCTAACATTTATTTAATAAAAAAAGGAGGGCAAGAAAATAACAATGGATCAGTGTATAATTAGTAATTACCATACTTTTCGCTGATAAGAGCAAACCGATCCAACCTAAAGAAAATTATTTTTTTTCGAAAATGTAATCTTAAAAACTTAAAATTTTAAACAGAGCTTATATCTATCGGACCTACAGAGCGTCTCACATTATATAAGATTATCTCCAAAACATGCAAATAATTCTCGAAAACCCAAGTATTTTCTGCGTGCAAAGCACTATATTAGCAACAGAATTTTTTTTTTAAATGATTCGTTCTTTTTAAATTTTCTGATGTGTCCCGGAAATCTCAATGACACGATCCACTAGCTATGATGTTGGACACCCTGTATCTACACAGGGATTTATCAGTTAAAAACAGAACTCAAACCTTTTACATCCAGTTCTTGAGATTATTTTTAATATATTCAATTAATTCCAAAGTTTTTAGACTTTAATAAAAATTTTATTTTTAGCAGGCCATTAGTTCGGAGGTTTAGATGTGAATTATATTATTAATCTTGAGATCAAGCACGATCTACATCTTGTGTAGATCTACGGATTAAGGGATTGAATCTTTGCAACAAATCCCAATTTTCTAATACCTATATATCTACAACCAAATTATGTAAACCTTAGATATTTCAAACTTTGATTGTTTGATATAACAGAAGTCATAGTTTGAAATATCTAAAGTCTACAACATTGGGTTGTTAACATAAAAGGATTAAAAAATCAGAGTTTGTGGCAAAGATTCAATTCCTTTAATTCATATTTAATATTCCGTGGTGGTCATATCCTGTAACAGGGATAACTTTGATTGAGTAATCAAGCATTTATTTTCAAATTCAAAAGTGCCCAGTGCACATTGGATATCTAGATCAAACGTTCAAGATTAACAGTACTAAACAAAATTGTTCCGACATGTTTTGATTTTATATCAGTAGTTAAAAAAAAGTTACTAATTCTCTAAGCTGCGAACATTTTAAAAGATGGAAGTGAATATATTTTTATCGATTTATATCAGTTTCTTTTATTTAACGAAAGAAGCAAAAAGATCGTTTATCTTGAACGCTTAATCTCGATATCCAATGTGGGCACTTCTAGATTTAAGGAAAAGTGCTTGATCCCTAAAATAATGCAAGGAAAAGTTCTCTTAATCTCTTTAGATCAGTTTCTTTATTTATAAGTATTTAAAATCTAAAGAGAACACCGAGCAGGTAGCCATCATGTAAATTGTATATGCATTATGCATTCCTAAGAAAGTTGGTATTTTTAATAAACAAAAACGTGCAGAATTAGCAGGTATAAAAACGGAAAATTGGTTATTATGTATATATATATATATACTTGTCTATCTAATTCTTTGTATCAAATAAACGTCATAACGACTGAAGCGATCGGACCCAGGGAAGGTTTATGAATGATCAAAATTTCAAAAATTGGCCTCCATCAAAATTCCATTTTCGTTAAATTTTTAAAAATTTTGAAAATCCACGAGATTTTTTGATGATTTTTTTTTGTTTTGTTCTACAATGTACACAAATAGAACATGTTCACAATTAAGATATAAATTGGGCGAAAAGCGCTCTAAAAGCCTAGTAGTTAATTTAAATTTTGCAATTATAAGGCAAATTTCCGTCCGTTTTGGAGAACTGACCAGATAAGATATTCATACCAATCCAAGGGGAAAAAACTATCATAATTTGGTGGTTAGGCCGACAAGATAAATGGTGCTAATCGCTCCTGTCCTTTGTATAGGTTTCAATTACTAGTTATTCTCTAAAAATTATGAAAAAGAATCTATCTGCACCGAGAATTAAAAGCCTTCAAAGGATTTGAGCCTTTGCCTTAAACTAAAATGTTCTAATCCCTTTATCTTTGCAACCCAATTCCGTACACCTTAGATATTTCAAATTATGTATTCTGGTAGATCAAATAATCTAAAATTAATATATCAAAGATATGCACCATCAAGTTGCTAAGATATAGGGATTTGAAAATTTGAGTTTGTGACAAAGACTCAAATCCTTTGGTTGTTTTCACCCAATAAATAATTAGAATCAAATCAGAAATCTTTTATTGAACTTTTTTGTAAATAAAAATCGTAGATTTAGTTATTTCCTGTCTTGGCGTTGAAATTTGCGGATGCCGCGCCAATATACGAAACTAGAAAGAAGAATACGATGACTGTGTACACGATGAACATCAGACGATCTACAGCTTGTGCAATGAGGTTCCAACCCTGGAGTTTGGGTAGATCAGGTTGAAGGTTCTCTGTATCATCAGCACCCCGGCTCCAGGGGGGGACTATACTAGCGGGAACCTAACATAGACATCTTTATAGAAAAAAGTTAAACGTCTGGTTTAATTACTTTGCAGAATTCTTTAGCTTGATAATTGATTATGTAAATTTGATTTGTTTTAATAAGAAACAACGTCAATTAAATGATTCAATGCTGATAAGTATTTCTTTTAAACTTAAAAGTTTGTATTTTTCTTTTTATTGACATTAAAAAGGACGATTTTATTTCATGGTCAATTTGAGCTTGAATTTGTTAGCGGAAACATCTGAAGAAATAGCTGTAAAGAACGATTTTTGTTGCAAAAATCTGTACGTTATGTTTATACCTCCATTGTAAATAATCAATTTTTGGACAAAAAAAAATAAAACAAAAAACGTTTTTGCGTAGACTAAGATTTAAAGTGTATATTCCTTGTGAATTAAACTTGCCACTTAATAAATGGAGGGTCACTTGAAAACTCTAAAATGGACGCGCTTGGACTGAAAGATGGAGCCATAAAATGTATCCAGAAGAAATTCTGTGTCTATACATTCTTTGGAATGTATAATTTATCCAAAGGAATAAATGGAGGGTCACTTGAAAACTGTAAAATGGACTTTCAACTTGCACTTTATTTTAGGCACAATTTAAACCATGAGATATTTTTTAAAGGTTACCCAAATATGCAGAACAAAATGAGGATTAACTAAATTAAATTTAAAAATAACTGAATAGACCTGTCCTATAAGAGGAAGATTTCCCAGACAAAGGAACGGAGAAATCATCTGAAGCGGAGCCAAAAAACGCATTGAGGGGGAATCCGTTCTAGAAGACATAAATAATATATAAGAGAGAAATCATCTGGAGTGGAGCCAACAAACACATTGAAGAAGAATCAGTCCTTGGAGTAAATATATGATATAAGAGAGAAATCATCTGGAGTGGAGCCAACAGAGTATTGAATACGAATCAGTCCTGGGAGTAAATATATAATATAAGAGAGAAATCATCTGGAGTGGAGCCAACAGAGCATTGAAGATGAATCAGTCCTGGGAGTAAATATATAATATAAGAAAGAAATCATCTAGAGTGGAGCCAAAAGAGTATTGAATGAGAATCAGTCCTGGGAATAAATACATAATATTGTTGACACAAATAAAAGAACAAAAGGGATATTCCTTAACTTTATTGAATAATAAAATCAAATTTGTTTTAAAATAGTGACCCTTAAAAAAGGGGTTATCTAAACGGTTGAAAATGAAATAACATTGATTATTAGTGTTGAAAGGAATGGAACAGTTGGAGCTTCATGTTGGTGGAGCAGATCAACAGGAACTGGCAAGAGAGGATTGATAACACCTGGAAAATAAATAATATATAAGAGAGAAATCATCTGGAGTGGAGCCAACAGACACATTGAAGAAGAATCCGTCCTAAAAGAAATAAATAATATATAAGAGAGAAATCATCTGGAGTGGAGCCAACAGACTCATTGAAGAAGAATCAGTCCTGGGAGTGAAACAGAACACAAGATTAAATAAATTACTGAGACATTTTATTAGATAGGAATGATTTTATTCACATGTTGATTACATTTCTGACTAACAGATGGAGAGCTAACTCATTGAGAAATTCAATAAACTGACATATTGAAAAAGAACTGATAACAGAAAAAAATTAATATAACAAAGCTCTTCGCTTAAACGTATATATAACAGAGCGTCATATATCAAATAAGATTATCTCCAAGTTATAACGCCAAAATAAACCCATAATACTCAAAAACATAGCATTTTCCGCAAGAAAATTCTTAAATTAGCCTTATTAAATTTTTCAAAATGACTCATTTTTCTTAAATTTTCTGATTAGTCTCGAAAATCGTAATTGAGACCAATTGACGATCTAATATGAAGTGGGACACCCTGAATAATGAATATAATGTTAGCTACAGCTGGCAAAATGGCTGGACCAAATTGGCTGACATTTTTAAAGGAAACCCATGGATACCCACTATAACCAGGGGTAAATAGGCTAAAATATTTCGAAATTATTTTCTTCTTTAAAATTCCAATTTTTTTACAAACTGTTTTTAGATTTTATGAATGCAAAATGTAATATACCCCCACACTCTTTCTTTTCGGGTTTTGATTTCTCAGGATTCTTGGATGAAATACATGTCTTTAATGAAAGCCAAGCTTACTCATGTGAGCTTTTGTTACTATTGACTTAGCGAGGTTAAATTAAAGTAAAACTAATTTACAGATTTTGATTTACAGACCAGTAACTATAATTTTGCAAGGGGTGCAGCACTAAGTTATAAAATGAAGGTGCCCCTGGTGAAGGTTCCTCCGTTGTAGGAGCCCCTGGTGATGCTTCACCTAAAGTAGGAGCTTCTGGGAATGGTTTCTCTACAGTAGGAGCCCCTGGAGAACCTTTCTTAAAAGTAGGAGTCCCTGGTGAAGGTTGCTCCGTTGTAGGAGCCACTATTAGTGAAGGTTTTCCAATTCGAGGAGTTCTATGTGGTGCTTCTCACATAGACACTTTTCCATCCTGTGATGTGAGCTCCCAGAGGGAATCTAAAATCCCTCAGTTGGGTGTATTAGATCTCCCAACGTCCAAACCCATTTTTCGTGGATCCAACAAATCTACTACTGAATTTAACCTAGCACCCTCCTCCAGTTCCTACAGATATGTTTGGATATTGTAGTGTAAACTTTATCCAAAAAGAACAAGATCAAAAGTGGGGGATTTTTTTTGCCTCAACGGATCCAGCACGAAATGATGTGTTTTGGTACATGCACATTAGAGAACCAATCTTTGTTGTATAGACAGTGAAAATATAAAAATGTAAAATACCTTTATAAACATGTATATTTAGTATAAACGTATTTAGAAACCAATGTTATAATTTTACCAAATGAACAATTAGATCTTAAAACTATTTAAAATCCTAATGGAATGAGAAAGTAAAATTTATGCGACATTACAGCTAGGATCGACTTTGTGGCCTCGTATCTCATCTACGCAGTGTGAAAAGCAAGTTTATCTGATCACATATATATAAACTTTGCTTGTCTGGGTTTTGATTGTTTGTTTGTTTCCAATAAACGTAAAAACAGGTGAACGGATCAAGCTCAACATTACTGAGGCAGCTTACGTTATCCCACATTTTTTATTTTTTTTAGAATTTTGAAAATGCTTAAAAAATATTATTAAATCCGCGAACTTGTTTTGTCATCTAAATATGTATAACACTGCTTGTCTGTCTGTATGTTTGTTTGTTTGTGTCAATGAATGTAAAAACGACTGAACCGATCGGGCCCAAATTTTCATTAAAATAAAAAAATCCACGACATTTTTTTTAAATCCGCAAACATATTTTGTTTTTGTTTTTCGATGTATAGAAAGAGAAATGTTCAAAATTGAAAAAGAAGATGGGTGCTTCTCCCAGATATTTCAAATTGTACAAAGAGAAGATGCTCACAGATAAAGCCACAATTAAAAGTTAAAATAGACGATATATTTGGCTTGTCTGTTTGTTTGTATTCAATAAAACGTCAAAACGGCTGAACCGATCAGAACCAAATTTTGTGTGGAGCCTCACATAACCCCAGGAAAGGTATTTGGATGCTCAGAATTACAAATATGTTTCCCAAAAAAATTTTTATTTTTGTAAAATTTTGAAAATCCATTAAAAAAATATGATTAAATCCGCGAATTATTTTTCGTATTGCTTTTATTGTACAAAGAGAAAGTTTAATTAGAAGATGGTCGCGAACAAAGATATTTATTTATTGGTGCGGAGCGCCCTAAAAGCATAGTCTGCTCTTGTATTAACGTTGCTTGTATCGGTTTCTGTTTGTTTGTTTGTATCCAATAAACGACTGAACTGATCGGGCCTAAATGACGCCAGGGAGGATTTATTAATGCTAAGAATTACAAAAAATTATTTAAGTAATATTTTGAAAATACAAGAAAAAAATTGTTGATTCGCAAAAAATGTTATTTTTGTTTTGTCAGCAGAGAAAATTCTGAAAGATTGAGCAAATATTAAAAGTTGAAAAAAGAAGATGAGCGCAAATTCAAAAACTTTGTTCTTCTTAATAGGTGTTAAAAAAAGAAGTTTTGATTAAACCATATTAGATTTTAATTATATGTTCAATTTACTTTAGCTTAACGTGTTTCACATACAAACAAAAATTCTTCCGTTCCAAACGATTTATTTCAGAAAGTGCAAAATTTAAGAATTAAATTACCTTTCATTTTATGGAGGTAATTTTTTTTCATTTCTAGTCTCTTTTCTAATTTGTTCTTTCTCTCCCCCCAAGTTACGGCCCTGGATCCGAGCTTGAATTGAAAAAGGGGAATTCCTTTTTTTTGGCTGAATGCGTGTTTAAACTATGCCCAATATCCTTGGTGTGCTGCCTACACCATTAAAATGATTACCGACCCAAGGTTTTACAATTGTAAATCACATATTCTTGATTTAAAGAAAGTTACTGGTATATAAGCCTTTCATCTGCAGACAAGACTCAGTTTTATCAAGAAACCTCTAATTTAACCTATCACCATGATAAAGCTTCTGCTGATTTTATGTATTGTTCCAAACTTTATTTCAAACATATTTGTTTCTGGAATTCGAAGAGGAGCACCTTTCTCATTAGGTCCCGATATTGGAGGTAATAAATATGATTATAGTTTTAGAGGGACAGGTCCGGAGTCTATAAGTCCTGCGTCTCTATCAGTTGATGATACATATTCTCCATCAATTCCCAATATTGGCGGTAATACAAATAACTTCATAAACACTCAAAAGAAAATAAATGATGAAAACAAAACTAAAGAGAAAATAAGATTAAGAGAATTCAGACCTAGGAAGCAGTATCGCCAACTCCAGAATTATAGAAGGCTTAGTGTTGGTTATAGAAGACGGCCTAGCTAGTCCTAGTTTTAACTCAGTCTATAAGCAATACACCCTACCCTACTCCAATAGTGGATCTACATCTAATACTAAATATACCACATCCAGTTCCTCATATACTAATCCAGTCTACGTGAATAGTAAATCTACAAAAACTAAATATCGAGCATCTCCAACAGAATCCTGCAGTAGATCAGCTTTATCACTTCTACCATCAGTAGTTGGTTCAGTATACTGTACATCTAGCTGTTACAGTATTCTTGGAAGAGAGAATGCAGAGAAATGTTGTCAATCTGCTGATTCAATAGAAGCATGTCCAGTTACATGGTATTCTTGTAAATTATGCGCTTTTTAAATATATAAATGTCCATGATTATACCATTTTAAAATATATATCATGTCCGTTATACCATTTTTAGATATATATCATGTCCTTGTTATACCATTTTAAAATATATATCATGTCCGTTATACCATTTTTAGATATATATAAATGTCCATGTTATACCATTTTTAAACATATATAATGTCCATGATTGAGTCGGATTATTGAATGATTCTAAAGATGATTTTTTATCCTTTTCTCTCTCTTATTCTAACTTGACAATAATACGTTCATCCTTTCCAAAATGTCGTCTTCATTCCTATTTAACATTTTTATCCACTAAATCACTTATTCTCTTATAGTTTTACATACAAGTACTTTATCCTATCTGTATCTTTATACTAAACTTCAATATTTTGCTTATTCTCTTTCAATACAGTGGTTCTAAAAAAAACATCTACTCCTTTGCCCAATCTTTCCAATCACTCTAACTACCAATATAACAACCCTTATTTTCATCCTAGCTCTCATTAATTCCTAATCCCAAATTTCTCTACAGCTGATTTCCATCCCAATCCCAACTTCCTCTTTAGTTTATATCCTTTCCAATTCCCAACCTTTTTTACCTACTTCCAATTGGTTCTATCTTATTCATATACCTTATTCCCAAACCAAGTCTAATCCCAATATCTTGAACATTAGTTGATAATCGTTTGGGATCCCAATAGTTTGGATTTTATGTAAAAGTTACGACACTATAAACTTTTTATATCATGCTTTCTTTATGACAAATGACAATGGACAAGAAAATATGAATTTTAGAAGTATTAGAAAGAAATAAGCCTGTGCAAAAAAAAACCAGCCTGTGTCAATATTTTGCGCAGTATTATGCTGCCTAGCTAAAGGGGTGTTTAGATCCCTTGAAACAAAAGTTATTAATATGTTTTCATGTTTTCACTTTTATATCTTTTTTTAAGCCTAAAAGTGTTTATATTGTCAAATATTACTATCTTTAAATTTGCCCTGCATTTGGCAATCTGCAAAAAGCAGGCTAGACACAGTCGATATAGAACCAGTAAAGAGGAAGGATTCAAGATGTAACTCTACAAAGAAGAAAAGAACTGTTCGACCCGCGTACCACCCTCGCGGTCAAAACGAGTGCAAAGAACCCTATATTCTTTATGTGACCAGATCTGATCAATATACTTCTTTAATTTGCAACCACATCGATTCATTAGAGAGAGAGAACATCATATTGCTGGTTAAAGATTAAGAAGTCTTTTATATTTCTGGTTATATATATCCTACCATCTCAAACTACCCTCCCCAACTCAACTTCAAAATACTTCCTCGCCAATTCATCTCATTTTCTGAGACATGTTATACCATTTTTAAACATACATAATGTCATGTTATTCAATATTTTTGCTATCTAAGCCAGATCAAACTGAGAGAAAATATAGACGTAGTATACAGGGTTACCCACAAAGGATGAGACCTCAGAGATTTAATTTATGAAGACTTATTTATTTATTCAAGGTTACCCTCATTATTATTCTTTCTTATTTCACCAAATATTCAATAGATTTGTAGTAAAATATGTTCAAATCAAAGTACCCAATTAACCTTTAAATCGTCAGATCTACAGGAATTAAAGTCGCAACCCTGTATAATAATTGTGAATACTGAATAAATATTGTTTTCGAAAATTTGTGTCAAAAAACTTATTTGTTTATTGTAATTTTAACTGTTATATGTTATCAAAGAGGTTCAAAGTTAAATTTCTAGCTCCATGAACTTGAATTTTTTTCTACAGTGAAAACCGGAAAACAATGAAATAGGAAGACGACATTATAGCAATACTTAAGTGTATTTGATGGTGTTACAAAGCAAATAGTTTTACCAGACACTTATCAAATTATTTTTTGTGTGAAATGGGTCTGTTTACACTGTAAAATTGCTGTGTTTTACGGTTATTGAACTTTTTAAAATTATTCCAGAGTTTTCTTGTTATGACTTTAGGTAAAACTTGTATTTGGAATATATTCTATCCTTTAAAAAACAATACACACAAATGCTTTATAGTAAGACCGAAATGAGGGATAAGGGATACTATAGTTTTTAAGATGAGATCTTTGTGGTAGATTTGTTAATCTCAGTGCGTTGTACTGTACAATATTATTGTATAGGGTGATTGTAGTGCGTTGTACAGTACAATATTATTGAATAGGGTGACTGTAGTGCGTTGTACGGTACAATATTATTGTATAGGGTTACTGTAGTGCGTTGTACGGTACAATATTATTGAATAGAGTGACTATATTGCGTTGTACGGTACAATAGTATTGAATAGGGTTACTGTAGTGCGTTGTACGGTACAATATTATTGAATTGGGTGACTGTAGTGCGTTGTACGGTACAATATGGTGTATACCTTTGATATTTCAACTATATGAACTCTGTTAGGTCAAATAACATAACTTTAAAATAAAAAATGTTTTTGATTTGTTTGATTTGATTTTGTGGCAAAAACTCGGTTCCTTTCAGCTTTTAAATTAGAACAACATTGTCTAAGTATCTGAAGTTGAATAACCTTTTTTTATTTTTGTAATTTCCAAGTTTTTTTTTGGCACCCTGTCATAATTTTTATTTGTATGTAGTAGTACCTGGATACAAGATTAGCCAAGGATAGGATAACTGCTAACTGTACAACAGCCAGTACCACTAGTCCTAGAATATACGGTGGTAGGCGATTATATCAACATAATGAAGACGACTTTCGATTTAAATTATAATTTATATCCAGCTTGTAATAAGAATGAATACACAAAAACATGGAAAAAAGAAAAGATGTCAATGAAAAAAGCTTCTCTTTAATTACTTGTAAACTTGTAAGTTAAAAAAAAGCTTGTTAACATTAAAACTGTTTTAAAAAGTCGTCTTCATTATATTTATAAATAGAACTCCCAAGATTTTCTCAAAATTTAGCCTATATAGTGTTAGAAAAGCAAATGTTTAGAATAAACAATTGTTAAAACAATTGCTTATTTACACTAAGCGAGATTTTGACCTTGAAAGAAAATATTGGCAAAAAATGAACCCGCTTAATCTTTAAACAACATTGGTTAATTTTTTCAAGCTGAAATTTGCGCGGAGAACAAAACTTTTTAGTTGTTAATCCCTTGATTTACCTGTCGTCATGGCAACTATCATGGGCATCTGACCTCCTGCTGATGGCAGAAAACTCCTGAAAGACGAAAAATGTGTGATATTTGACAAAAAAGTATCTTCTGACCAACTATAGTTTAAATATGCAATGGTGCAGGGTTGGCATGAAAAAAAACCCGGCCCAAAAAAAACACCGAAAAAAAACACTAAAAAAACCACCTGTTAGCGCGCTTTTTTTATTGGTTTATTTTAGAATTTTTCTAATTATTGCCTTTTTCTTCACTCTTTAATGATAAAAAAACAAGGTTTTCTATCAACTTTATTGATTTTTACGGAGTTTACACTTACAGCACTAAAACTGACACATATGATTAAGGAAGGTTATAGGAGACCTCCTAATCTCAGGGATAAACTTATCCGAGTCAGAATTCCTAGATACTCCTAGATTGAGGCCAAAGAGGCTAATACCTGGTATGAAACCGTGTGGTTTAAATTGCCCAACTTGTCCCTACATAGAGCCTGGAAAAGTTATACAATCCTCTAATACCAGTAAGAAGATTGAGATTAACTTTCAACTGTAAGACCAGAAATGTAGTTTACTGTATTTCATGTGAGCAGTGTAAACTACAATATATAGGACAGACAACAAGATCTTTAGATGAAAGAGTGAGAGAACATATTGGTTACAATAGAAATCTCCATAAAAACCAGCCTACAGGAGAACATTTTAACCTTCCTGGACATGAACTCTACCATCTAAAACTTAGCGTACCAGAGAAGGGTTGGGACCTCGGAAGAAGTTTACTTGAAGTACGAGAGATTTTATGACTGAACTCCCAGGAATGAACAGAAAAAAATAGTTTTCATTTAACTGTAAATTGTAATTCATTATTCTTTTTATTTCCAATTCTTTAAAGGGTTTAAATACCCCTCCTTAGACAAGCCGCCTCCCCCTGATTTACGTAAAAGTTCGTTAATTAGATCGACCCCCACCACCACTTTATACACTATAAACTAACCAGTCTGTTTTTAATCTTCATGACAGAAACAATCTCAAGGAATAATAATTTTCTTAAAACATTCTTTAAAAAGTGAATATTTGCAAATTATCTTTTTCCATCTCATGATCTGAGTTCATTTCCCTTTTGTCCATTTGACAGCCCATTTGATTTTTTTTTAAATCAGTTTTGTTTGTTTATTTTCTTTTGTAGTTTTTAACATCGATTTTGATGGTTATTATATCGTTAGAACTGACGAGGGTCAACCTTGACAGAAATATATTTTCAATAAATGTGGAACTAACATCTACATTTTTCTATACAAAGGGTTGGTCCATCACCATCACCGAATTTTAGATATTATTGTATTTGAAGAGTATTCATATATTATTTCAGCTTATTATCACAATATTATTATTTTTAATAACTATAAAGTTCACCTATTGCTTAGATTGTCATATTATTATGAATAAGTATGAACTTTAGTAGGTTTGAACTACTTTCAAATTTAAAAAAAAAAAAAAAGCCCAAAGAAAAACAATAAAACCAACTGGGCTGGGTTTTTTAAACCCTGTTTTTTCCAACCTTACTTACAATGGTGTATTAAGTATTTAAAATAGGGTTACCCACAAAGGATGAGACAGTAAAGACGACTTAAAACTCTTGGAATATGACGATCCTAAGTTTATATTGAATCATTGAGTCTTCTGCCTTAAATGTTGTCTTTAAATTGTTTATTTAATGATTAGGCAAAGAAGAAAAGAAGTTTTTAGTCGCAGAGAAGAATGAATATAATAAAACGGACAAAATAAATTCCGTACAGTCGTCTCTGAAGTCTGATCCTTTGAGAATAACCCTGTATATGGGGGGAAGGTTAATTTTATAAATATTTAGAAAAGTAAGTTTTAATATTTATTTCTAAGGGGGTCTTGCCCCCCTGTCCTTGATATGGTATACCTGTGAGCTAAGAGTGTTATAACCAGTACACCAACAGCAGCAAGGTTCAATCTGAAACATTTTGAAATCAATCTACAGGGTGATTTTTAAAAGTCGATTTTTTCAACTGTTCACCAAATCAAAACTATGTACAACAAAAAGATGATTTAATATTTATGAGCTCATAATTACATGACATTTGATAAAGAATTATTAATCTTTCTCTTAAGAAGGCTCTCAAACTGAAGCTTCCAAATTTCGAACACAATATTTAAACAATTTGATTTTTTTCCATCACATGGAGGACGAATTTAGTATTATAAAATTTGGAATCGTATTCTACAAGATCTTCTTATATATCTAGGTTCCTTTAAAGGTATTACAAATGGTCAGAAACCATAATTTAAAAAATTTGAAAAAAATATTTTTGGGAGAAAATGGAGAAAAATTGAGAAAAAGGACGTATTTTTTATACTGTTTGAACTGTTTAAGGGAGACCTTTTTTCTGGATGTAGCCATTGTTGCTTACAGAATTATCAAATGTCAAACAGTAAGTAAGAATTTGGGTGTTTTTTTTAATATTCTAGATTTTTCATCTAATTAAACACATATGAAAAAAATCGACGTTTAATCTGTAATTTAGTGTATTTCTCTCGTTCTCATTATTTCTTTCTATAGACAGCAATAAAATACAATAATTTGAACTTCGTATTTTTCATGATTCCATATAAAACAATTATATAAATGAAAAAAAAAGTTTTTTAACGGTTCTAAAAATATCTTTAATACTGAACAGGAAATTAATGAAACTTTGAGAAAAAAATACAAAAAATAAAATTGAGCAGCAAAAAGAAACAATGGACAAGATAAAGTAAAAATATTGAAGATGAAAACTGTTCGAAAGAAAATTGGCAAGACGTAAAAGAAAATTCGTATTTGGGATCTAAATCTTAAAACTAGCATATTTGGAATCTTATGAAAAACAGAGTTTGACAAAATTTTCTTATCTGTAAGCGAGTTTTAAACTAAGTCTAGAGGTTGAAGAGAGATGAATCTAAACTAACCTAAGTCTAGGGGTTGAAGAGAGATGAATCTAAACTAACCTAAGTCTAGAGGTTGAAGAGAGATGAATCTAAACTATCCTAAGTCTAGTGGTTGTAGAGAGATGAATCTAAACTATCCTGGTTGAAGAGGGATGAATCTAAACTATCCTAAGTCTAGGGGTTGAAGAGGGATGAATCTAAACTATTCTAAGTCTAGGGGTTGAAGAGAGATGAATCTAAACTATCCTAAGTCTAGAGGTTGAAGAAAGATGAATCTAAACTAACCTAAACTAGGGGTTGAAGAGAGATGAATCTAAACTATCCTAAGTCTAGGGGTTGAAGAGGGATGAATCTAAACTATCCTAAGTCTAGGGGTTGAAGAGAGATGAATCTAAACTAACCTAAGTCTAGAGGTTGAAGAGAGATGAATCTAAACTATCCTAAGTCTAGGGGTTGAAGAGAGATGAATCTAAACTATCCTAAGTCTAGAGGTTGAAGAGAGATGAATCTAAACTATCCTAAGTCTAGTGGTTGTAGAGAGATGAATCTAAACTATCCTAAGTCTAGAGGTTGAAGAGAGATGAATCTAAACTATCCTAAGTCTAGGGGTTGTAAAGAGATGATTCTAAACTATCCTAAGTCTAGGGGTTGTACAGAGATGAATCTAAACTATCCTAAGTCTAGAGGTTGAAGAAAGATGAATCTAAACTAAACTATCCTAAGTCTAGAGGTTGAAGAGAGATGAACCTACACTATCCTAAGTCTAGGGGTTGAAGAGGGATGAATCTAAACTATCCTAAGTCTAGGGGTTGAAGAGAGATGAATCTAAACTAACCTAAGTCTAGTGGTTGAAGAGAGATGAATCTGCACTATCCTAAGTCTAGAGGTTGAAGAGAGATGAATCTAAACTAACCTAAGTCTAGAGGTTGAAGAGAGATGAATCTAAACCAACCTAAATCTAGGGGGTGAAGAGAGATTAATCTAAACTAACCTAAGTCTAGGGGTTGAAGAGAGATGAATCTAAACTAACCTAAGTCTAGGGATTGAAGAGAGATGAATTTAAACTATCCTAAGTCTAGGGGTTGAAGAGAGATGAATCTAAACTATCCTAAGTCTAGGGGTTGAAGAGAGATGAATCTAAACTATCCTAAGTCTAGGGGTTGAAGAGGGATGAATCTAAACTAACCTAAGTCTAGCAGTTGAAGAGGGATGAATCCAAAAAGCTGAAAGGATCAAACAACATGAAACTATCAGAAATATTTAAAATTGAGAAACATTATAAAATGTGAATCTGGAGATCCAGCATTGATCTCCATTTTATGCAGATTAATTTATTTCCTCTTCGATATCGATCGTCTTGATCATACCCTGCAGGGATAACTTTAATTTAGAGATAAATAATTTATCCTCAAATTTAAAAGTGCCCACATTGGATATCGAGATCAAGAGTTTAAGATTAGAGATCATTTTGGGATTTCCGACAAAATTATTGTATTCTTCAAACCATTGTAATTAAAAAATCGATTTTAAATATTTTCCTAAAAGTGGGAGAACAGCAACCTGAAAAGGTTTAAGACAATTACAAAAATTTAATAATTGTCAGTTTTAAAAAATCATAAAAAAGTGCAACCTTCTTATCAAGAAACGATCTTCTCTGTAGAACGAAATCAACCTAGAATCAAAATGATATTATTAACATGCATTTAAGAAAATGTCATCAAATTTCTTTTATTATCCTAAATTATAAAATCCTAGAAAAGATATTATCAATTTTCAGATTGTAAAACGAAAATATTTTGTTTATAGCTCCGGCATGACGTAATGCTCAAGGGTCAATAAAAATAATGAGAAGCTATCAAATTACATTATATTGGGACGTATAAGAGACACTGTTTACAAATACACAATATGTTGATTGTTTACATAAAACTATAATTTCTGATCAAAATTGTAAATTATCCCAGTGAATTGTAAATCAACCCTGTGCCCATTTCTTTAGTAAACTCACTATATTCATAACAACAAACATGCACAGTCCCTTTATAAAAAAAGGTTTCAGGGATTCGCGCATCTTCCCTTTATAAACTATCTGAACCTGAAGTTCTACGAAGTTATCTTTATATGCAGTAATCTCTATTCTTTGCTGTATTCCAGATACAATATCCCAGGCACCAGGCACAAAATTATCCCTGATTATTATTATTAGTTTTATTATTATTATTATCATTATTATTATTATTACTATTATTATTATCATTATTATTATTATTATTTTATCATTATTGTTATTTTTATTAATTTATTAATATCATTACTATCATTATTCTTTTAATCATTTTTATCATTATCATTATTATTATTATTATTATTATTATTATTATTATCAATATTGTTATTACTATTGTTATCACTACTATTATTACCTATCAACATTGCTAATATTAGCTCCAGATATGGTTGTAATATCTAGCTCCCAACCTGTTTTAGTCCAGCTACCAACCAGCAGTCTACACTTCTATACATAAACAAATGTATTGTACAAGGGCGTATACAGAAATTCTATTAATTTTTCAGGGGGAGGGGGGCGCAGAATCCAACTCCCTTGGGAATCATACAGAGAGAACCAGAAAACTCTGAAATATGAAGTCCACTTTTAGACTCAAATTGTGACTTTACTTAATAAGTGATTTATTATCTTACTAAAAAATCTATTTTCTTTGAAACAACATTGCACTTCAGTATTGCTATAATGTCGTCTTCTTATTCCACATGTCCATGTTGTTCTCCTAGGATATCTTATATCCCTAAGCAGGGAAGTCCAAAAGTACATTTTTGAAAGTTTTAGTGAACAAGAAATTCGCTAAAATTCCAAAGAAATCCCTTCCAAAAAAAAATTACAAATTTGCCTAAATTTTTCTGAAAGTACAGAAGAAAGTAACTTTATTTAAGTATTCCTGAAGATTCAAAGAACACCTTAAAGTCCCTTACAGTGATAAAAAGAAAACTCTGGAATAGGAAGTCAAATTTTAAGCTCAAGTTATGACTTTAATAGTCCAATGAACATGAAACATATCAACTGTGCAGTGTAAACAGACCCATTTCACTTAATTAGTGGTTAATAACTATAAACTTACTATTAAAGCTAATTACTTTGTAACAACATCAAATGCAATTCAGTATTGCTTAAATGTCGTCTTCTTATTCCACAGTTTTCTATTTCAATCTGATTATATCAAAAGAACCCTAATTTATATCTAAAGGTCCCTAAACTATACCTGATAGTTCATAAATTATACCTGATAGTCCCTAAATTATACCTGATAGTCCCTAAATTATACCTGATAGTATCTAAATTATACCTGATAGTCCCAAAATTATACCTGATAGTCCCAGGGCCAGTAAGTCCAGTCTAGTTCACAACTAGTATGAAGATTGACCGGGGGGACCCACCAAATCTAAATATTAATAATTATCTCTTCTGAGGGGTAAACTTTAGCTTTAGCGACTAAGCTCAATATCCAAGGTGTAAACTTTTAAAATAAAGAATTTAAATTCAGTTCAGCTGATAAATCTGCAGGTCACTATGGGAGAAAATCAAAATCAAAATTGTACATCTTTTCACTCAGACTTATCATTGTTAGTCTAATCGACATGTAATGTAATAGAGGGAAATTATGTTAACAGTTTCAGAATTTTCTAATAGCATTTAACTTTTCCTTTTTAGCGTGTTGAACAATTTATAGCCATGATTTTTTATCAACCCCAGGAAAGCATTGCGGCATTTATTTTAGATTCATTATTTACTGAATACTTACCAGACCACTGCTGACCAGACCCACGTCGGTCATCTCATAGTCGAAGTGCTGAAGGCTGTTGTACACCATTATATCAGGCTTCCAAACCTTATCCGGACCCAGGTGTACAACACTAAGAACATAAACAATATTATCTATTGTACAACACAAGGTACATAAACAATATTATCTACTGTACAACACAGGTATATAGACAGTATAATCTACTGTACAATACAGAAATAGACAATATTATCTACTGTACAACACAGGTATATAGACAATATAATCTACTATACAATACAGGTAAATAGACAATATTACCTACTGTACAATACAGGTACATATACAATATTATCTACTGTAGAACACTAGGTACATAAACAATATTATTTACTTTACAACACAGGTATATAGACAGTATAATCTACTTTACAACACAGGTATATAGACAATATAATCTACTATACAATACAGGTAAATAGACAATATTACCTACTGTACAATACTAGGTACAGAAACAATCAGGCGTTAAACTAGACATTCAGCAAAGGGTAGGCAAAGTATAAAATCTTTTTGAGTATATAAGTACAACTATGTACACTAGGTACATAAACAATATTATCTACTGTACAACAATAGTATTTTATGAAAGCATACCTAACATTTTCGTAGTTTTCTGGAATCCATTTTAGCCTTGTATCTTTCCAGTTCATGACAAACCAAACATGGGAACTGGTAGGGTTAAAATATACATGGGGGGGAAACTGGTAGGGTTAAAATATACATGGGGGGGAACTGGTAGGGTTAAAATATAAAATGGGGGGGAACTGGTAGGGTTAAAATATACATGATGGGACTGGTATGGTTAAAATATACATGGGGGCGGGAACTGGTAGGATTAAAATAAACATGGGGGGCAACTGGTAT